CACAACACTAGAAGTAGAGTGAAAAAAATCTAACACAGAACTGTTACAATACAAACGATACCTTCACTTTATGTGAATTGATAGTAGGGTGGCAGCAGAAGTGTAAAAGACACTTAGAGGATCGGCAGTGATTTAACCAGTATGGTATTCCGGTAGAGGGCTACATATTGTAGGGCAAACACGTAATGACGATGATTGTAGGCAAAGCGAGTAACTACACGTTCAGACTGTAGGGCAAACACATAGTCATGTTGACTGCCGGTCTGAAAAGACATACGCATGAACGAAGATTGTGGCTAAACAAGGACAATGCAATTAGGATTGCGGCACACACAAGGCCATAGGATGACAACTAAAAACACCAAGATGAGAATGAGCAGAAGCCGTGTTTATTTTTCCCTGCCTGTGTGTGTATGTGTGTGTTTTCGGTGGTGCGTGCGTGTGCGTGAAACGTACAATTTCTTTTGCCTGAGCCGGGGTATGCAATTGTTAACAATGGCTTCCGATCAACGAAACTTTGTGAGTCGATTCCATCATGAGTATGGGCTAACAATGCACAAGACTTCAAAACATACATGGAATACCGTGTACATGTATTATGAAGAACGCCTCCAGATGGAATTATGATATCAAAGCCATTGGAAAGCAATCCTTTTCACCGAATAATGACGTTCCGAATCATGTTCTAGACGTGAATCAACCTCAACACGTATAGATGCCTTTGTCTCCTTTCCAGCTCCAGGGGAGACAAACTTCATCTCAGCCTTAAACCAGGTAATGACATAGTCAGGGTCGAAAGGATACTTTTTCGCCTTGGCACTGCTCGTCCATTTTTTGGGAATGAGTCCAGCTCCTTTGGCTTGCAATACCTGCTTCACCTGTGCCATTGAAATACACACTTTAGTTCCGTGGCCGATTTCGTATATGAGCGCCATGAAGCCTGGAGTGACCCGAGGAACTCCCCAGAACACAAGTGGACCGTTGCCTGAATGTTCTGCGGGACCAGTTGGAGACTTGTCTTCCAGGTCTTCTAACGAGCCGTGCATTAGCGTGTCCCAGAAGAGACGAATAAACATATTTGCATGTTCGTTGGTTACGAACAATGCGTCTAAACTATTCGCAATTGCCGCCATTATTCCTCGTCCCTTTCAAAGTCTATGATGTACACTCTCAGTCTGTTCATCTAAGATCTAATCTTGGCAAGCGGATCAAGAAATGGAAGGACTTCCTATAAGTCCCTTGTTATACGTGTGTTCTCCCCGGGCGAAGGCTAATCACGAGCGGGCGTGTTTTCGGCGCTGACAACAGTTGTCTTGTGTTGAAATCTGGCCAAATATTACCTCTCACACTTCCCAGGCGTAAATAGAGTTTGCACCATGATGTCATCCCTTCCATTATCTTGAATGCAGGGCGTCAGAAGCACGCGTTCATCACGTCATTCAATGCACACATGATGAGATCGTTGTTACACTCCCTGCAGCTATTCCCTTCAGCAACAAGGTTCTAAGAATTTTAGAAATTTCTGGAAGTGAATCATCCTCACTCTCACCATTACTTCGTTACTTCGTTGCTTCTCGCCGTGCGATAGTTCGATTGTAGGCCCGTGTGAATTCGCTAAGAAAGAGAGAATGACGTACGCGGGCAAGAACACGGGCAAGAACACGTCTAACGCAAGAACTGAAATTGAAATCGTATAAGGCTGTAGATTTCTTACTCGGTGCAAGTGAGAGTCCGTGAAAATGACGACTCTACTACCTCATTGCTTCGTTCTTTGTGTTAATTAGAGACACTGCATGACATTTGCTTTTTTACGCTCTGTGTTACTGTGTAAGCTGCGGCATCTCACAGTAGGTGTTAAAGCACACTCCAACCAGGGTTTGTTTCTACAATTTTCTGTAGACCAGACACTACCCTCTTTATTAAGGTGGCAAGTGTGGTGAATGACCTACTTTGACTTTTCTGCTGCTCGACGCCCCGCCATCCGGGCCAGTCGTCACTCTGAACCTGTTTCCTATCACACTTTCTCCCTGCTTCACACCTGACTCAAACTCACAGTCATAGTTTGCTACTGCCCAGCGCCCTGCCATCAGTGCAGTTGGCGAATTTACGCCTAGCGCCTGATCTGTATTATCCCGCGTTCCTGCCTTGTGCTTAACTCGTACTGTGCTTCGGTCCAACGCAACATCATCATTGACATCAATGCAGGCCGGCTTTACACCTGGCTTTCTTGAGAGGTTTACCCACCTCGCTATTGGCAGAATAGATCGCGCGCTTCGGGCGGAACAGGCACATATTTAAACCGCCCGTTTGCAATTTTGGGGACATCATTGACTACCAGAAGAAGGCCACTGGCCGAAACGTTGTATTTAATGGAATGGTTCGGAAACCTGCAGAGTATTGTGGAATGGTTGAGTTCACCCAATTGTATCTACTATGAAACTGCAGGAAGCCTCCAAACTACTTCTTCAGTAAATCTTCTCATTCAATTGATAATTTTTTTTATAACTGTTTTTTCGACTATTTTGCTCAACTCCTATCGATTTTGAATTTGTTTTCTTTCCATGACAACTGCCAACGCTCTTCCAGGTAAATGCGCTGACTGAAGTGATGGCCAGCAGCGCGTAGATCTACGTGCATGCACGGTACTACATAATTATATATTGCCCAGGTCCAAAATACGTTTTTCTTCTTCTCTCTTTATGTTCACCACTCATTCCCCCATTTTTTCTAAACATTTACATTTATACACATTGTATTTTTTGGTCCCATCGGCCTCTTCATATTTGTGCAGCTGCACTGTTGAGCTCCCCATGCAAAAACAAATAATAATAATCTCTTTCCCTCAAACCAGTTAATAATAATAATAATAACCCGATAAGCCTTGGGTGGGGGGGGGGGGCAATCTAGGACAGTTCTTGTATGCAGTTACCTGTTGCTTGTAAGCAGTCACCTGCCAGTGATCTGCTGAATTACGGTAATCATAATTATGGAGCTCAAACTCGTCATTATAACAACACGAAAAGCTGACAATCTTCATCATACCAAATTTTGTTCAGTATTTTATGGCATAGAACACTTCACATGACTTACAATTTTATAAGAAATGCTGTAAACCAACAACGTGAGTTTCAACAACATACAAAACAAGTCAGTATCATGTCAGTGTACACAGTACAGTGCACGTCAGTCTGACATGCAGGCCAGGCAGTTTTCGCAGCAAAGTGCTCCGTCGCACTTTCGTTGCAAGATTTAATAAAATTAGTCTTTATTTGTGCTGAGTAGACGGTCTTTCCTCTAGATGTTATAAGGCGGCTGGTTCGGGGAGACGTTCACACGCTTTCCTGACCTCGTCCTCTTCGGACTCTAATTCTGAGGCGTCTTCATCATCAAACTCGGAATCAAAGTGATCATCGCTACTGCATACTACCAGATCAACAATGCCTCTGGCTGCTTGCTCGGAAAAAGCCATGACGTGTGTTCTTCATCAGCTAACAAAGAATAATAAGCAAACGTTGGTGGAAACAAAACGCTCCAATTCTCGCCGCCTTCTCATGTACACCCATCACAAGTTTTTTTCGCCAACGCTTGTGCCCGGACTCCCAGCCAGAGTCATAGATCTACTACAAGTAGTACTAGTAGAGGGCACTGAAGATTTGATGCGAACACAGTTCTTAAATAGTTTGCGTGTACATGTATATTTCTCTGCAATCGACTGGTCCCGTACGGATCCGGTCGACCGTCCTCAAAGATTGCAATAGTCTTGCACAAGTACTGGAACTGGAAGTCACAAGAACATTAGGTAACCATGGTAACTGGTTCACTAGCTGCTACATGACAGTAGTACTTGTGGTGGAAGATGGCCATTGTACGTCACTGACACTATGTGTATAAACCTGTAGACTGTAGTTAGGCGAGATTTGCGTGACCCCAGATTCTAGACTTTAGTTTAGTTACTTTGTTACTTACCACCTTACCGGTACTGTCTCACTAGAGTGAGAGAAGAGCCAGTCACGATGTGTGGAACCTCTCACTACTAGCTACAAAGCCTACATGTACATGTAGAGTCGAAGAGGATCTAGCCTTTCTAGGCTGCAGAGTACACCACTTGCACTGCAGTCTGCACTGCCACATTATCATAATCATGCATGATCAAGGCTGCGCGCCCGCCTCGCGCGATGGCGAGGGCTAGGGAGTTGTGAGTTCTCACGAAAATCCCATGTTTTGCAGGAATATGCAAGTTTTCGCAAGAATTTGCTAGTTTTCTGCAAAACCTGCTGATTATGCTAGTGCATAGCTAGTTTCCATAAAGTGCTAAATATGCTAGATATAATACTAGCAATATCCGCCGGGGCCTAGCAACCTTCCAGGGTAAATGGTGAGATTTGACCAATCAGAGGTCTTGAAAATCAATCATTTCCAAGTGAGTGAAATGATTTTGCCAGCTATAGCGGTCAAGTTTCGACGTACAGTCAGTATCGCCTTTAGCGCTGGTGTTTGCTTTTGAGCATTTTATAACTATAAGCGATATATTTATTACTATGACCGATAGTGCATGCAATATATGCGAGCGGGGTGTCAATTGACTCAGTTGTCTGTGCACATACATGTAGGCACTGCATAGCTGGCTACAGTTCCTGACACACAACATCAGCATTTCCTCACGATGGAGGCATATTTCGCAACTTGTACAAGCAGAACGCACCAAACAGCACTGGACAAGTAAGTTCTTCACGAAGAGAGTAACACCCTGTTCTCCTCTGACACCACTGGATTTTACATGGCGATGCACAAATAATGTAAAAGGATCTTTTGAAATATGAATTTCATCACTATAGGCGATATATTACTATAGATGATTATTACTACACCCGATAACTGTGTGCACTTAGTTATGGCAGATGAAAATGAATTCGAGAAAGTGCTCACTCCAGCCGGTATAATATTAGCACTATAGCTGCCAACCTTATAGGCCACACTGACTGTACAAGTATCTCGTTTGTGTTGTACAATTTATTTAGTTGTTCATTGCCGAAGTCATTGAGAGGTCTAAAAAGCAAATTCTGTAAAGTGTTTCTGTGTCAGCATGGCTAGAACAAAGCAAACTGCCCGTAAGTCAACTGGTGGAAAAGCTCCAAGGAATCAGCTTGCCACCTTGGCTGCTCGTAAGAATGCTCCCCCAATTCGTGAATTGAAGAGGCCTCACAGATTTCGTCCTGGTACTGTCGCTCTTCGTGAAATTCGTCGTTACCAGAAATCCACTGAGCTTCTTATACGCAAGCTGCCCTTCCAGCGTCTTGTTCGCGAAATCGCTCACGACTTCAAGACTGACCTTCGTTTTCAGTCGGCAGCCATTTGTGCTATTCAGGTTAGTCTGATAGTCTAAAGTCTTTGTTTTGAAGGCTGTGTTCGCTTTCTTATGATTTGACGAAGCTACTGTAATTTGAACATGAGGAAACTCACGCCTCTACAAGACTACATACATTTACTAGGAATATAGCGCTATGGACACTGGCCATCGCCTAACGCTACTAATCGTAAAGTCTTTTGCTTAGCTTTTGCGGAGGGGGGTGTCCTCTCGATATACTTCTTTCGTACGTGTTGGTGTCAGCAAGAGTTCATAACCCCCAAGATTGTGCAACGGGCATAGACCCAGCGCTCGGCGAAATTCCTACATTACGTCATGCGCAGCTTATCACCCGAGGTAAATTGGGGTTCTTTGCGTTTTCTTGAAACTATACCCTGAACCGCTTCTAACTAAAGGCTGTAGCCTCGACTTTTCGAAGCTTTTTTTATGACATTTCGGACGTGAAAGTCGTACGTTCTCAAAAACAAACTCTTTCTCCAATAATCCATGGACATCGCGACAGGAAGAAGTGAGGACGCTGTTAAAAATATTGCATTGCCGTCGAGGACAATCATTTCATTCTGATATCTGTGCAACTCGGCCGGAAAATGCTCCTTCGACGTATTCTCAAGTTCCTCAACCATTTGAAATCATCTGTGAGGAAAGCACCGGAAATATGCCGATGGCCTGGGGAAGAAATTGTTCTTGAAGAGATTGACCTTACTGGTGAAAGAAGAAGGCTAAGAAGAGCACCCATTGCATCAAAAAACAAAACAAAATTCTTTAGGGTTTGTTTGAAGTTTTATTTTACATCGCAAACCAAACGGGCTTTGATGCCCAATATTAAGATGGATCGTGTTCTTTGTTTCACTTTTGCTCTTGGAGGCTCAGACTAGAATCGCAGTTTAGGCAGTTTACCCTGGGGAAGCATCCTGGTTTGACTGTAAATTGTAGAAGAAGTCATCGGCATGACACATCGCACTGCACCAAAAATGACGCAATGAAGGAATTCCGCCGAGCGGGCTTCCATACAGGGACTGATCAGGAGTTGCACACTCTTGGGGGTTATGAAATCGTGGTGTCATCAGTTGTGTGTGGGCTGCGCAACTCTGTCCAAAGCGGCGAAGAGACGAGTTCCACCTCAAGTACTTGTACTAGTAATGCTAATCACAGTCACAGTACAGTATCGGTCGAGTTGCTCTCTGTACATCGTCACGTCGTCCCCACATCCCCTGTGTCTTGTCTTGTGTTTGTCTCCACATGTCTCTTTGTAGGGCTGTGTTCCCAATAAAAAAAATAAAAAATAAAAATCAGGAGTGGTTGTGTACTCTTGGTTATATTGTTCACAAGAAGGACTCCAAATACTGTATGTGCTCAAAACTTTGGTATGACCATGTGGGCAAAAGATCAGGTTAAGTGAACGGGAATTTCTTTACTCGCTTAGAAGTAGTTCCCTTTTGGATGATGTAGTTAACGAGCATATTCTCCAACAGGGGGCGGCCTGCCCAAAAGAATGAGATACTATTGAAAATATGTATTGTGTACACAGAAGCAGTGGGGGATTACGCCTTTGCTGGCCATTTTCGCATCTATCTACAAACTATCGGTTGTAGTAAAGGGTAGGTATATAGGATCACCTTCAAATTTGAAACACACACTTCTCATACCACACTCCTTCTACTGTAGTGAACACTTGATATAATATAGCATAAGATCGCTCTAAACCATGTTACAGCTTCTTCAAATAGGCATGTTGCAAAATTTTGTGCTCGCAAATTTCCGCGCAAATTTTCAAGAATGCCATCAGTACAAGGAATGAAGAGAAGTCCTAGCTGGAGTCACAGCATGTAGAGGAGACGGCTCGATACCGGGACGTTTTGACAGCCAAATTTGTATAGACCCAAACCGATCATCAGCGTTGATTTTTCACTCGAAATATGTTTGTGGAAGGAAACTGGCATGTTGAAGTTTGCTCTGGGGCCAGAGTCAATCGAACTGAGCCACTCCTTTGTGTTGACCCATTGCCTCCAAGTTGCCCAATTTTTCGCTTCAAAAAAGTTCAAATCAGAGGTGGCTCCAAACCGGACACGTTTTAGAGTGCACGTCAAATTCACTCTGGGTCTGAAATTAGGTTATTTCTATCGCTCCACGAAGGCCAGTACAGAGTAACAATAAGCCTTGTGTGTGCTTCCATTAGTTTTGATTGGTATGCGGTGCTTTATTGGCGAGAGGCGAGCCGCTGTTTACCTGCGACAAGAAGTTGATTTTTCGAAAGTCGTAAAACTCAAGTCGCAGTGCGAAGCAACACGTCAAAAACTCACCTGCTTGATATGGCGCTTCTGGTCATCGAAGAGCCATGAAATTTTGGCTCGGAGTATCACATCGTAGTCTCACTGTGACATTATGTTTTCTAATCAAAATACCAAGAGAGAAAGTGAATATTGAGTCCGATCCGGTTTGCAACCGGTGTCCTATTTGAAACCGTCCCCTCTACATCGAGTGCAACTGGGTGTTCTTTAGTGTGGCAAAAACAAAATAGCTGGCTTGTGGTTACTCAAAGAGGAAATGCCGTATCACCGCAAAAATGATCAGATTCCACAGGCATGAATTGTCACTGAGGTTCACTCCAACATGTTGATTTTAGGCAAACGTACTGCCTGGTGTCCACCTGATTCTAAAAAACCATCACATTCCCTACAAAATATGAAGCATAAGAGAAAAATAGGCACAATATCCTGAAAATGGGAGGAAAATGACACTCAAAACACACAAACTGCTCTGCTACATAACCAAACAGTAGCTTGACACCCAATGACTTGGTCAGAAGGATCCGGTTTGGCTGTGGCCTAAGTAAAAAAAAGAAAAAAGTGACACCTCCCTCCTCTATAGTAGCCTCCTCCAACCCTTTCATCTTCCTCCTACACTTCTTCCCCTTCTCCAGAAGCTTTGCGTATCGAACGGGCAATACGGGTATTGTCCTCCAGTTTGATTGCCTCCACGGTGTATTCACCACGGGGGAATCCTGCAGTCTGAAGAATCTGGGCTAGTGCCTTGGCTGCCGTGTTGAAAATGCACACTGCCAGTCCAGCAGCAAGACGTAGTATGTCATCTCCCGCAACTTCTCCTTCGCACACATGCCCTAGATCATAGCGTTAAGGGGGCAGACTACCCATAAATTTCATATGGCATTCAATTGACCGTAACTTTGGTGTTTCTCAGTGGATTTGAGTGAAATTTTGACCACACACTCCTGTCACTATGCTGGCCCTCAGGACATGATTTACAAGTTCTTGCGCCTCACTGACAGGCTTTCCAGGCCGGAAAAACTGAAATTTCTGTCATAGTGCCATGGTGTGCGAGCCACCCAGGAGCCAAACAAATGCATTTACATTTTTTTCACATTTTCGTGCCCATTCTGTCCGTGCGCAGGACCCAGACCTAAACCAAGTCCAGAAGCAGCCATGGGTGGTGGGGTAGGGCCCCTCAACGTGGCCCTGGAATCTGTCACAACGGAACGAGTGGGCGTTGTCTCACGGACTCCCACAGACCCAAGTCAATTTTTGAATTTTTTTAGGTTTAGCACGTGCTACGAGGTCGTACCTTTGATACAACATCCAGTGCTGGGACCTCCACAGCAAGCCATTTCCACAGCGCTGCACACCAAATCCAAGATTCCCTCAGAAACCGGCAAAGACTGCCACTCACGTTTCACTACTGCCTAGTACTGAATCCTACCTGACTTCTTGACACGACTCAAACTTGCCAAAGTCACTAAATCAACGTCAACTACAATAATCAAGCCACATATCTGCAACGTCACGAGGGTGCTGGCAAAAGTCCTGCTGCACGGCGGCGGGCTTCGCCCGCCGCCGTGCAGCCCAATACGTGGTTTTTTAACGTGATTTTTTGGACTTTTTTGGAATTCTGCACACTTTCGCGTGTTTCCATAATACGACAAGTTGCGCACGGTCTGCTCACATTCAAATACAGTGCTGCCAACAAATGACAGCATGCAACAAAAAAATCTTTCCTTGCAAGGGCACATTTTCGGCCATAACTCTTGAACGGCTGGTCAGATAGGGACACAATTTTCAGAGAATTTGCAGCTATTCATGCTCTTTCAACTGACGTAGCACTCAATATGAATTTACAAATTCGATTTTTCAGCGAATTTTTGGGTAGTTTGCCACCTTAAAGCTCTCATTGGCATTTTGTGTGGCACCCGTGTGGCACCCGTCAAGCAGCGGTCCAGCAATTTTTTGCTAGCAAACTTTATGTAAATTGGCATCAAAACATTGTGGACATCATTTTGGATACTACGAATTTTGACCCCCCAAAGGTGAAATCTGCAATAGTGCTCAAATGCACGGAAAAGGCAGAGCGTAGTACGCGATAGGCACAAAAAAGTGTTGTCTCATGATTGGTTTTAGCCATCAAACTCTGAGTCACAAAGAAACACTCCTACTTTAATTCCTTTTGTGTACATGTGGGTTGATAGAAATTTCAGGTAGTGTACGAAAGAAATGCAATGGAAAAACGAAAATGTTGAACGGTCACATCCATGTGAGAACGGCATGAAATTACACAGGAACTTGATGGCCAGAACTCGCACAAAAGCATACAGGATCGATTACCAAGAAAGGAAATGGAAAATCTGAGACAAAGTTGAACTTACTTACTTTCCACCGTTACCACTCCAGTCATGTTAGACTTCTAAGCGTTATCTGTGGCGGAGATCGTCTTCTTCAGGTCATAGGATTTGACACAGTCATATTTGGGTTTTTCTTCAATTTTCTTTTGCTGTGATTTGCCCTGGTGTATTGGACCTTTTCTGTGCACTCTTTGATCTGCATCCTTTTCTTGTGCCTTTTTGCAATGCAGGAGGCATGCGAGGCCTACCTGGTCGGCCTCTTCGAGGACACCAACTTGTGTGCCATCCATGCTAAGCGTGTCACCATCATGCCCAAAGACATGAAGTTGGCACGTCGCATCCGTGGTGAGCCGGCATAAGCTGTTTATGGCTCAATGATATTCATGCAATAAATATCTGCTGCTTATACTCGTACACCCATATGCATGTAGCGTGCTTCTTGGACTTTGTACGAGTAGGTTTTGGTGATAGATTTTCGGTGTGTCACATCAGATCTCCATGTACATCATGCAACTTACTTTGGTCTCGTACTTGAGTGGTAGCATATCACACACCAACCTGGAAACACTAGCATGCCATAATGGTTATTTTTAGTGGTTGGCTCGTATTTGTCACCATTAATCCCATCTGTAGAAAAGGAATTGTGTGTTTTATCGGAGATAAGCTGCTTCTGGCTTACTGATATTCATGCAATAACTATCTGCTGCTTACTGTATACCCGTACACCCATTATGCATGTAGCGTGCTTCTTGGACTTTTTTACGAGTAGGGTCTAGTGATATTGTATTTTCGGTGTGTCACATCTACATGTAATTGCACATCATGCAACTAAATTTGTTTGCTTTGGTCTCGTACTTTAGTGGTAGCATATCACACACCAACCTGGACACACTAGCATGCCATAATGGATATTTTTAGTGGTTGTCTCGTATTGTTCACCATTAATCCCATCTGTAGAAAAGGTTTTGTGTGTGTTATTGTGGTGAGGGGAGGCATTGTTGTAGGATTACAGGACAAAAACTGTGAGTGCCATATTCTGCAAGGCTAACAAAACGGAGCCCACAGTACTGTCTGCATTTGTGATAACTGATGGAAATTTCTGTGAAGTGTGAATGATTGTGCCAATCATTTGTTGAGAGACCTTTTCCCTCTCCCCTGCCTCGGATTCACTTGTGAGGTCTGCATTTGTCAATGAGGATATCATTATGCGAAGTGGTGGGCCGCCGATGCGAATGAATTTAGCTAGATTTGTTCCTAGATACGTCAGGTGATGCGGCCGCGAATCGCTGTAACCTTACTTTACTGATGCTTTGGCGTGCGTTGGGGGGGGGGGGGGCGGTCTAGGACAGTGCTTGTATGCAGTTACCTGTTGCTTGTATGCAGTTACCTGACAGTGATCTGCTGGATTGCGGTAATCATAATTATGGAGCTCAAACTCGTCAAAATTGCAACACGAAAAGCTGACAATCTTCATCATACCAAATTTTGTTTAATCTTCTATGGCATAGAACACTTCACATGACTTACAATTCTATAAGAAATGCTGTAAACCAACAACATGAGTTTAAACAACATACAAAACAAGTCAGTATCATGTCAGTGTGCACAGTACAGTGCATAGACGTCTGTTGACGTCATGAGATTGGCGCAGTACATCGCGGTGCACAGATCAGTGTACAAACGTTCCTAACTCTCTCACAAATAAGTCTAGAGCGATACTCGATACATGTGGGAGAGGTTTTGAGCCCCGGTCTATTAATATAAATTTCTTCACTTTAGGAGAACGATTGAGGGAGCGGCGACGGAGTGAACACGGAATTCACGGCACTGCGCGAACGTGATTGTTTTTCGTTCGTAGTTTTCTGTTGCGTCCCAGGGTATTTCCTTTTGGCACATCGCATGCGAAATGGACACCAGGGGAAGCACGTGAATCCCAGGTTTGCAGCGCATTTTGAATCGTGAGAATCGGCTGAACTCGAGCAAGAAACAGAAAACGTATGTGAGATCGAGTTCCTGTGCATTTCCGAGTCATGGTGAGATACTTTCAAGAGGACTTAGAAATTCACCACCGGTACCTTCCTTATTGATTTGGCAGCTACCATGATAATACGCTTCGTCTTGATCTTGCCAACAGGCCCAGGATAATGAAACCATTGAGGTGAACTAAATACTAAAATAGAGAGTAAAATTCAAAACGCTATTTTTGGAATGAATTTCGTTGCTCCTACGCTGGACCTCACGCTTTTCTCGCCGATATGACATAAACATTTTTATGACTATGAAAATTTCTTACTGGTTCATAGAGTAGAAGCAACTTGTGGGTGGCTCTGGGTGGCAGTCGTGAGGCAGTCAAGGGTCAAGTCAGTTCGCAGGAAAATTAATAGCTTAGGTGTGTGAGCAACCACTTCCTCATATGAAACACGCCAAAGTCGTTGTCACTATTTAGTTGTCTGTTACTGTTAGGAAAACTAGTGCGATCACGAACAATCAATACATTAGACTTGTCGTTCCTCAATAATAGTCCATTCAGGCCTGATTTTTTAAATAGACATGCCCTTTGGCATCGTTCACTTGATTGCCTTATGCGTTATGGACATAGTTGAACTTTGTGTTGTATGTATGAATATGTCGGTACCGCACCACACTGAACACTATCCTCAAACAGGCCTTTTTCTAGTTCCATTGCGCAATTTCCTAGTTTACTGTGAAAAGCCAGGTTAGTCAAGTGGTGGTGGCATTTATGTGGTCTACAGAGGAAGAGGAAATAACTGAACGAAGACTCAACTACTTATCCATAGTAATAAAAACATGTCTGGTCACAACACATTGAAGCCACGGCGCCATGTAAATGGGAAAAGAAGCACATAAGTTAGGTTACTTCAGCAAGATAGGAAGTTTACACGGGATTATATTATAGATTTTCAACCACCATCTCATTCCGCGATAGTGGATAATAAAATATATGGAGATGAAACAGAAAACATGACGCAAAGAGTGATATGACTACTGCAGAAAGTAACTGATCACACAAAAATATTTTAAATAGTAGAGATGAGTTATGATGGAAACAGCAATAGGAGCGTGTCAATTATCCAAATCGGCTTCCTCCCGGTTTATACCTTGGGCAAAGTGGTGTGTAATGGTGCATTTAAAAGCTGTAACGGATATTCTTTACACGTCGTCGATTTTACGACTTGTAGATGTAAAAAATAAGCATTTGAATCTTGTATTTGTACTATGCATTTTACCCTGTCCCTGAGCCGTAAAATTGTTCTGTAACATTGGATGAGTCGAAGTGATTCTTCATGCATGGTAAGCGATGGCGAGCAACAGCCAGTGAAGCAAATTGGCCCCACACCTGCTAGATGGGAGGTTGCTTTGCTGTACTGCTCATGTTGGCTGTGGATGGGTAAAGTCTGCGTAAACGTTTTATCCTGCCTTGGTGTCAGAAACATCCACGTTAGCCATCTTCTTTCCAAAACAGGCTGCAGAACGTTGTACATCTCGCGCTCAGTCATGGCTACATTGAATAAGTTACTGTCTGACAAATCTACTACAATTTGGTGAAAAATTAACTTTAACCTGTCTCTTATAATTGCCAATCTACACCTTACATGCTTGTCGGGCTGGTCATTAGACTGACTGGAGCTTTTGGCAACGTTATCAGAAGATGTGCAAACAACATTCAAACACTGACTTGGCTGGTCAGGGGAGTCACCGGAGCTTTCAGCAGCGTTATTAGAAGAAGTGCAGACAACATCCAAACACTGACTTGGCTGGACAAGAGAGTCACTGGAGCTTTCAGCAGCGTTATAAGAAGAAGAGCGGACAATATCCAAACACTCATTTTGCTGGTCAGGAGAGTCAATGGAAGATTCGGCAACGTTATCAGAGGAAGTGGGGACACCATCCAAACACTGACTTGAAGCAATATCATACAACTGTTTCTCTTCAGGCGTTGCCATCTTTACAAAGAGAACAAAATTAACCACACGATCAACACTCTGGTCTTTTCTGAACCGGGTAAAAAATGAGCTTGATTTTCAACAGCATGCACCTATATACATGTAGAAGAGCATGCATCGTGCTTATGTCTGTTACGCAGCTAAAACTGGTTGCACGCACTCTACAGCGTTGGATCAATTGCGTGGATCGAGTCTATGGCTAAGTTAGCGTTCGCAGGATCGGCGCATTTAGTGTAGCGCTTGGCGAATAATGGACAGTTCTCCTGAAACATCGGTTAGTGCAGCCTTGGGCTACGTGTCTTCAGCATTGAACTCACTGGCACTCATGCTGAGATCGTAGTCTTTCTCCGAGGCAGGATATCAGAGCCCTCTAGTTCCAACTGTAATTTATGTGAAGGTTGATGTACACCTGTCTAAACCGAAAAACGAGCGGTTTTTTGAACTTTCAAGGAAGCCCTAACGCCACTTGTGTGCGTGGATTGATCTTGGCTGAGAGCTGGCTTCTGGTCAAGTACAATCGCCAACAAAAAAACCGTCAAGTGCTATGCTAGCTAGGCGCTAGTACTAGTAGTAGAGTTTGCTGTACGTGGCCGCATGCACTGACACTGCTAGTAGTAGTACTACTAGTACTACTACTAGCTTAGTGCGCTGCACATACCGTACCGGTACTCTGCTGCCGGGCCTACACTCTGTGCTCGACTCGACAGCATGCAATAGAAAAAAAGAAAGAAAAAAACTGCATGCAATAAGCAGAGAGGAGTACTGCGCAGACTGTTTTAGTTCAAAGCTGTGCTGGTAGACCCTCTACGGTAAATGTATGCTTGCATAACTATATAGGTGAGACACACTGACAACAGTTCGAAGAAAAGGCATTATTGCTAACTTATTAAAGAACAAAAATAACTGCATAAGAAATACTCTGTTCTTATCAAATCCTTTTGAACCATGATCATGAATGTACGCACATTATGTATGTGCGATAGTGGATGATCTTGTGCGTAGAGCTGCTGACGAAACACTTCGCACTTGATAGAGAAAGTACATGACGTGTTTTCGTGGCTGCAGAGCACCTTTGTTCTTACCTGTCAGGATCAATCTAAAATTAATTCTTTCTAGGCCAATGACACCCTAAAGGTTTGTAGTGTGGGCAGCTTTCGTAATGACATCCTGCATGGTGCGCGAGGAGCCGCTGATGGAACACTCCAGAGTGGATGGCAGTTACGAAAACGCAATTTTCCTGAGGAATCATTTGAGAAGCCTACCAAATGACGTAGAACTGGTCAGTGGTTCGACTGGCTTCGTCCAAACAAATATGTCTAGTAGCACTTCAGAGCTTCCTGTTGTGAGGTGACCTGGCCGTATATCCAGTGCTCTCCTCGTCAGTAGTTTTTACTTGAACTTTTGTGTAAGGCGTAAATGGCTATTGGAGTGCGTAAGGATGCTGCCACGCCACTCTAAAGAAATGAGTTATTTATATCAAAAATAAAATAGTGGTTGCGACTTCGGCGAAAATTCTTTGGAAAGGGTTTGGTCCCCATGCTGGAGCTCGTGCTATGCCGACGACTTGACTGGACACTTGATTGACTCACGACTGCCATCCAGAGCACACGAGAAGTCTATCTAACCTCCGACTCGGCAAACCTGCAAAAAAGCACCACGCTTCGCTCAATACAAAGCGTTTGGGGAATTCAACACCCATCAGTCCGACTTACTGATTTGGATATGATAGCGCGCTGTGAATGACGGAGGGTCCTCCACGTCTGTTCTCAAAGTCAAGGAGCGACATTGACTCACGCTGCTATCTGGTGTTCACGAGGTGCTGGTCGCGCTGGAAACGGAGGGTTTCTGCAAGCTCTTCTTGCACAATCTTCCTCAGCCTACTCAAGCTCAACTGAAGTCGGCGGAATAGCGCGGTCTTCAGTGTGTGGAGAAAACCCTTTACTATAATTTTTTTAGATGACAAGTATTTGAAAGTATTAATAACCTGCGCGGAGATAACAATTTAAATATTGCTATGAATAAAACAATCTCACACTTCAAACACACTAAACAGTACACGGTCGGTAGGTGTAAAAGTTTCCAAGAACGTTTTATTGTGACGATCATCAGTTGGACAATACATACATGTACAGGATATTGACCAAGACGAGGTCTTTATGGGAAATA